AAATTTCATTGAAATATAATTAAAAGGATTTAAAAATGAAAAATAATACACAGATATTTCTTTACCATTGAAAAATTTAGATACATGTTTAATAGTATTAATCATACGAATCCAACGTTTTAAATCATTATTATATTGTTGAGCATTAATATATTGTTTTCCATGAGCAAATATAATATTTTCTTCTTTATTATGAATAAAAAATGGTAATTCAACAATAGTTGTTTTAATATTTAATTCATTTAATAAATGAATATAATTACGAAATTTTTCTGGCCATGCTAATACAGATAATCCAGTTGTAATACTCTTATTATCAACTTGCCAAACATGTGTTTTAGCATTACCACCAAGAGCATCACGTTTTTCATATATTGTCACATTTGTATATCCACTACGAAGCAAAGCATATGCAGCACCAACACCACCAATTCCACCTCCAACTATGGCAATCTTACCATCTCAATTATGTAATGGTGATATACGTTTTTTATTACCAAAGAGACGTGATTTGATGTATGTATATATAGCTAATAATAAAATGCATATAAATGTTACGATATATTTTAATCAGTAGAAAATATTCATCTTATTTTTTCATTATTATTTAGTAGACTGATTGTTTCATCAGAACTTAAAACTAGACTCTATTAACCAATGATTTAAGTCAGATGATACGAGTTTTAGATAAATGAAATGAAAAAAATAAATACCTGTAAACTTCTACAGATGTTTTTTTTGTCCAATCATGTAAATGACTTGCCATATTTTATTCACATTTTCCTCTAAAATGTATTTTGAATTTCATTTTAAATTTAATGTCGCTTGTAATCAATACAATAATAGGGTTAAAAACTTTTATTTATAATTTTTGATTTAACAGCTCGATAGTTTCATTACACGTGATTCGAGTCATATGTATAATTTTGATCTAAAGTAGTTTTGTTAAAACAAATAAATAACGAAAGATTTGATGAAATTAATGAAAAAAGTTCTCCAAACGTATTTTATAGTTTATATTTAATACGTACATCACAAATTGAGTAGCATGCTTCAATGGATAAAAAGTACAATACTAAATGTATTTTATATGACATAAGAATGCCATAATATTGCGGATAACATGTCGATCATTTAGTTTACAATTTTTATATGTACATTGTATGTTATTCCATATATATATTCTCTCAAGCATAGCTTCTCATTTTCGATCATAAATCCAGATTCAAACACTGAGTAAATGTAACGCGTAAATGCAAAGAATACTCACATCCACACCGTAGGATCTGACAAGATGAGTTTCATCTGGCCTGATGCAAATGTTTTCTCTTTGTTTTTTTTTCTCATCCAAAGACCTATACGTTTTCATATGATGTATTTGAATGGTTGCTTTCATATGCACAGAAAAAAATTTATAAGAAAACGAAAAATGGCATAGTTTGTTGACTACCAGCAATTGGATTTTGTCCAATTGTACAATACAATGTCAATACTAAGATGAAGTCATGTTGAATGAGTAAATGTTGACAACCATACTATGATGCAACGATCCGTATTACTCATGCATCACATGAAATTTCGTCGACACTGCAAAGAATTGGATTCTGTTTGAGATCTTCAAAGTTTCATATATTTGAAGGTACGAAAACCATTAAGCTTTCGTGTAAAACAATGTTTTGGTTACATGGAAAGAAATTTGCTGTGAATTTCATGGAGAAAAATGATCTTCTAAGACATATAATCAGGATCATAATCTGTCAGCTGGAGAGACTCTTCGCAGAATTCAGCTGACTCAATTTCGAATGATGACTGAGGCCGCTCAACTTCGCCACTAGGTGTTGGATGGATTCGAAAAGTAATTCAACAATGAATTTTTCAAGCCAGTTACTTTCAAGAAAAAATTACTTTTAAGATGACTTAGAACAGTACAATGAGATATCAATTATCAAGAAGTTTTCGTCATCAGGTGTGGATGTAGTTGAATAGAAGATCCACACCTACACTTCCAACCATATCCTCAAAATTGAAGTTTTTTTTTTGCTGTCTCTCTAAAATTGAAAATCGCAGCACTCTAACTATCGATTTTTTTTGAATGCATAGTAAGTAGAATTCTATTCATATAATGACGACACATCGTGCTACTACTTGAATGAAATTATTCGAGATAGAGAAAAGAAAATAAATTGAAACTTTAAGTTAACCAACATTTATAAACAAATAATTGATATTTTGTTACATATCACAAACATCAATCCATTGTAACAGTTACGAGTATTCAGAATTATTGACGAAAAAATAAAACTTATGATAACATTTGAAATAATACTTGGTGAAGTGCATTTAACTTGGACAACATTTTAATTGAATATCCTGAATAAATAAATAAATACTCTATGACATTTATTTAGTAGAAGTTATACTGGCAAAGATAATTGCAAGAATGAACAAAATAAAAAAACCTAGTAAATGAATAATGATCTCTTTTGGAAATTGACTATCACGTTTGTAAAGATCGTCGTAGAGCATGACTTTTTTTTTCAATTAGTTCCACGTTTTCTTTCGTTACGGCATTTATAATAACTGCTGAGTCGATAAATGTACCCAACACTCTCATAAGAACTGTAGTATTGATAGGTATGGAGTAAAATTCATTTTTAAAACCATCAGGAATACACAATAAACAATCTTTAATATTACTTGATTTTTGGTGCACAAACACAAAATGATTATCATTATTATCTAGTATTACAAAGAGAATTCCTTCAACTCGAATAGGATCAAAACTCTACTTGTAAGATAGTAAAAAATAACGACTAATGAATAATGCTATTCTTTTTCTAGAATTTTGTTCGTAAATTTTACTTTATTATCGAGTAGAGAATGTCATCATTCATCTCAGATTTTTGCATGAAGATGAGCACTTAAACCCTTATTGAGATATGGCGTCTCAAATATAACCTTCGATGTAGATCCATTTAGAATGACTTGTGTTATAATCACTTATCTTTCAGATCAATTAAGATTCTAATGAACAATACAACCTCAAATACACAAATTTTTAAATTTCTACATCAATTGTTTGATTCTAAGCGTAATCCCTAGATAGTTTTCAACTTTGGAATTCTTATAGGAAAAAGTTCATAATTCAAGAGGGAACTTTTTCACATGTAAAATTATTTTTGAGTCGAAACTATGCTCATTCAATGAGTGCTGGTGAGCGTAGAAATAAAGACTAGAATGATTTGATTTTGTAAGTCTTCATTCTAATGATATTAAATATTTGTTGAATTTTTCAACAAAATCTCGCAGTTCCTCCCTCAGGTCATTTTGAAAGTTGATTCTAGAGTTACGACTTGAAACTTTTCACAAATATAATATATATTTGTTTTTCTTCGAAAACATCATGACCAAGTATTATAATAAAATCCATATTTTCATATATTTGTCACTATTACGTAATGAAATATTAACCGTATGAAATTGTTTACATGCAACATCTTCAATCTTCATAGACATTGCTTTTAAATATGATGATTTTGGTAAATCATGTGTTATTAAGGGTGTGGGTGTGGAGTATGGATCTGTGGGTGAATGTGGTTCTATTGATAGGGTTGGATGTAATTGATGCAGACGTAATTGTGGGTGTTAATGTGGTTCTTCTTTTCACTCAGATATCCACCACCCGCACCCTCATCGAAAATTTCATTTTATTTCATTGTTTATTAATTTCTCTGTGATTGATTTCTCATTATTTTAATGTAAGAATCAATCATTTTTTTGTCATTTTCTGACTTCTTGGATGATACCCTCCAGATTCAGAAGTTTATAGTCAAGAATATACTTCCGTGCTTTTATAGTCAAATTCACAGCCCATAAGTTGTTGCACTCTAATGTTACATGTGCACGTCATTGTTTTCTTTTCAGTACTTGCATCTTTTTCTTATTCTTTCCTTTCCTGCAGGATTATTAACGTCGGTGGATGAAGTATGTGTCATCGTCACTATAGGTAACTAACAGCGAATTATACGGCATACGAAATTGTCAACAGTTTGTGAATCATGTTCGATTTTTTTCCAACAAACTATTTAAAGGTAATACTGCGTCAACATAAGTATTTCATCATGTCACGACATATTTGCGCATTTGATCTATTACCTATCGAACTAATTCATGTTATTTTCAGCTATTTCTTAGCTCATGAAATTCTTCATTCGTTTACGAACATCAGTGACTATGTCGATACTATCTTACTCTCTTATTCGTCTTATTGTTTCAACTTCAGCTCGATTTCCAAATCACACTTCGATCTTGTTTGTCGTCATATTCGACCTTTACAAGTCATCTCGCTTACACTCTCTGATGCTAATGATACACCGGGTCAATCAGATTTGTTTTTGACACATTTTCGAATTGAACAGTTCATTAAACTTCAATCACTTCGATTAATCGAGATTGAACTCGATTCATTAGAATCGATCTTCTCTAATTTGAATCATCTTGAACTACTCCGTTTCCTTACATATGATACAAAAGGCATTAAAACCAAGTGTCCAAATTGGACCTATGACTATTCAGGTATGATCATAGATATGAATTCGTGTTTTGCAGAAACTGCTATTCGAGCATTACCTCGATTAAATCGATTAAATTTATCGAATTTGAAAATATCACCAACGATACAACTTTTACATCTTCATCATTTGACATTAGGAAAGTCAACTATAGATGAACTGAATAGAATTTTCTCTCAAGCGCCACAGTTAAGATCACTTAATATTTCACTTCAAGGTGATATATCAAGTATTCATCATTTATCTCCATGTTCTCAATTGAACCGACTCACTCTGAAAATTGACGGTGAGAATAGATGATCATACTAGGTAATACGAAAATGATTGTTTTTATTTTTACTTGTAATTTACAGATTCACGAATATCAATAGCACAAATGGAACGATTTTTACCCAAATTAACCCAACTGATACACTTTGAATTGCATGTGAAAGGTGATCATGATCTGGCCGATGGTCATCGATGGAAAATACTGAGTGAAGGTCTTCTTACGTTCAATTTCAAGTTTGAATTTCTTTCTTCGCTCGATGAGTTAACTCTCGACTCATTTCGTACTGAATTTTGGCTTCGTGAGAAACATTGGTATGTGGCTTACAACAATCAACACATTTTTTCCATACCTTACTTTGCCCCAGTGGAAGTTAATAGTTCTGATTTGTCATCACCTTCTATTTGGAAAACATCTGATGATACAATATTCTACGAACATGTCACTAAACTCAATTTATCACCGAATCCGAACGAAGATAGTTTGCATATCATCTCGACAATGATCGATCTCAATCGTATACAATATTTGACTATATTGTCATTCGACGATATACAATCTCTAAATTTCTATTTACTCAACATGTACTGTCTTCACACACTCTGCATTAGTGAAAACCTCTCACTAGATTCCATTGAACAAATACGATACGATCGATTCGAACAGATTCGAACACTTAAGATTTGTCCTCATTCAGAAAGCATGAATTACGTAATTGAAGAATTATTACATATTTTCCCGTGTGTTGAACATTTAAACATATTATCTCTTACATCGAGAGCACAGATGATCCGTTTGATCGATGGATTTCAACATTTGTCAAGTGCATCATTTACTGTTCAATCACCCTATAACAAAGATGAACGACATTGGTATTTCGACCCAGAATTGTCAATTTGTGGCACACGACGACTAGTCAGAGGCACGTTTAGATGTCGATTTTATCGTTCAACTCGTGCAAGTTCATCGTACGATGTTCATATCTGGATTGAAGAACGGGTGAGTTGATCATCTTTAGTTATATTTATTCTGACTACCTTTCATTTAAAATGTGATTTAGCCGCAACAACTGCGTTGGGCAGCGTATTGTCCCCCGCAACGAGGATATTATTGGCATCGATTAATGCATATCGTGTCCTTCAAACACTCCACCAGTGCTTGCAATAGTAGAGTAACTGAATTCGTTTTGGGCGGTATTGCATCGTTCATGGCTCTAGTAACACTCCACAGCAACGTTTTTCCTGTGTACAGCCGATTTGTTTTTATTATTTTATATATACTTCTCATTGTGATATTCCATTCCATTGTATACGTGATACACGCCATCGCTCTTTATCACTTTCCGTCAAAGACAAGAAAGGCAACCAACATCGTATTTTTTCTGATGATTATTTTCCTCCTTATTCCAATTATGAACATTTTGTTTCGCAAAGCTTTTTCTGGACGTTCAATGATATAGACATTTTTAAAGATTCATTCTTGGACATTTTTATAAGCTTGTTTTGATTCATTTCTGCTGATCTCTCTAACCAAAAACATTCTCATATAATTTCATCGACAAACCATGCATGTGAGTGTGGGTGTGGGTATTTCCATCATTCACATCCACGCTCAAACCCACCCACACCCACACCTCACACCCACATACTCACCCACACTAGAAATGCAAAAGACCACATCTAGCAAGACTATTGATTTTTTTATTGAAACAGTGCATTATTTCTACAAAAAAAAACAAAAAATTATAGAAGTTAAAAAGAAAAGTTCCATCTTGAAACAGAAAACAGTCTATTGAAAACACTATTCGTTCTATTGTGTAGTCATAATCGTCTGCAGCACAAGGAACTGTAGTAACGAATCCACAAATTCAATGAGTCACATGATTTATCTTATCCTTCCGTTCATTACGCGATGACCATGTTGGAAACATTGATCGATCGATGGGACAAGGGCTTTCATAGAAAAATTGATGTTTCAATGCTGCCTCAGTAGAAATTCGCTTGGATGGATCGTAAATTAGAAATTTGTTCAATAAATCAAAACATTCTTTAGATAATGTTGTATCGAATCGTGCTTGCAATCGATTATATGGATAATTAGTAAAACTTATCTTTCGAGTCAATGGAAGTGTATTGTATTCAGGCCAAATTTGTGTATTCGGTGTGCCCAAATCTTTAAAAATTACATTCAATTGATCCATTTCGGACTGACCAGGAAACAATGGTGCCATCAATAAAAGTTCACCAAATATTGCACCAACACTCCAAATATCGATTGCTGTCGAATATTCTTTAATCCCAAGTAATAGTTCAGGTGCACGATACCAAAGAGTAACAACTAATGGTGTATATGGTTTTAGCGGTGTACTATACTCACGTGCAAGACCAAAATCACCGATTTTAAGAATACCTTGATTGTTGAGTAATAGATTTGCTGTCTTTAAATCTCGATGAATAATCCAATTGTTGTGAAGATGATTGACACCTGATAAGAGTTGAAGCATTAATGTTTTGACTTCACCGATTGAAAATGGTCTTTGCATTGTATATGTCATTAAACTTTTCAAATCATGTTCAACATAATCCATAACCATATAAAATTGATTCAAATGATTGCCGACGAGTACTTCTCGAATAATGATAATATTTTCATGTTGTGATTTTGAACTACAATAAATTTCACGTAAAAAAGTTATTGGAAAACATTGTTCTGTTTTTATCTTCAATCGTTTTAAAGCAACGATCTTACCTGTTTTTCTTTCTCGTGCTCGAAACACAGTACCATAAGTTCCCTCTCCAATATGACTTAGAAATTGATATTCATCTACATAACGACATCCTCGAATAGTAGGACAATTAAGGAAAAAGTTAAGTTGTTGATGTTCATTTAACTTCAGATGAGTATCGATTGAGGTGAATTTTTGTTCTTCTTCATTGAATGAAAGTGAATTGGTCGATGTCGACGACAAATAACTAAGTGATCGTTTATAGTGATGATCTCGATCGTCTTCCTCTTCATCATCATCAAAACGGCTCCGATGGTAGATAGGCTGTACAGGTACACCCGATTCTCCTTCGTCTTGATCATTGTTTTTTAATAAATCATTTGATAATGTTTGACCATGATTTTGTTTATGATCATTTTCTTCTTCGATAATTGTGGTAGAAACATATTCGTTCGTTATTACTGATGTTGATTCTTGATAATGTTCTCTTGTTTTATGCTTTAATGATCTTTTATCATCGTCGTCGTCAATTGGTTCGACCGATTGTAATGAATAATGTCGTCGACAATCGCCATCATCACTCGAAGAACTTCGACGTCGCTTCCATCGATCATTATTTGAACTTGGTCGATGTGGTCGTTCATCTTTTGTTGTTGTTTGGCACACTATGGATTGTTGTCGATAATGAGTTGTTGAATAATCCATATTATCTTCTTCATCATCACGAACAATTTCAGAATGATGCATCTCACTTTTGATCAGTCTTGATGATTCACCAACGTCAATTATTGAATATGATGAATTCAATGCGTCTTTGATTGTATTTGTATGCATCAATGAAGTCGAATTGTGAATGTATTTAGTAACAATTTTACTAATTATATTGTGCTTTTCCATAAAAAGTTTTTGATGAGTGTCTTATTATGACTTGTATATCATAAATAATTGCTTTTCTTTTCTCTCTCCCTTATCCTATTGCGAAAGTTGTTTTTTTTTCTTTTTGTTCGCAAAAATGAGTAAGAATAATATAAGTTGAGAAATATTATGTCACGGTTGCGCAATAACATAACTTTTTACGTGAAAGAAAGATTGATGAAATCGTAGTAGTCAGATTTCATTTCTTTCCGTAGATTTCCAATTATTTTATGTATATTTTATTTAATATAACACAATTTTAAGTAATATTTACCAATTAACAAATGAATAAATAACATTTTGTCTTTTAAAAAAAAAGTTTTTAGACAAAACAAGATATTCTTACAATATTACATTCACACAGTGTTCATATACGCTTTTTACAAGAAATAGACATATTGAGTAGTCTATTTCTTTTAGTCTATACAAAACGATAAAAAAAGAAACCGTCTATTAAATACGTTGATTTATTATAAAAATCTCTATATAAATATTATATGATTATAATACTGTGAGAGTACTATGTTCGATTAAATAAAATATACAGAACGGAAATACTTAGGGCAGCCCCAAAGTAGTGGCGGAGGTTCCTTTTTTTCTCATAGAAAGCTTGAAAAAATTTTCTTTTTTATGAATAGATAGAGTGTCTTTTGCTCTATCTTTCTATGCTATTTGATCACTATTAAACTTATATCATAATAATAAAATTTCGATAAGAACTAATTTTGTTGAAAACCAGCTGGTAGTATTCAGATCATAATCGATATGGTATTTTTGCATTCCACTTTATTATCACATAATATGTTGTATTGAAAAAACAAAATATACCAGAAGATGCAGCGTGAAAAGGGTGTGGGTGGGGTGGGTCGGGTGTGTGGGTATGGGTGTGGGTGTGGGTGGGATGTGGGTGTGGGGTGTGGGTGTAGGGTGTGGGTGAGGTGTAGGTGTTTGGGTGTGAGTTTAGATTCTAGTATTATCAATCCATACCCACACCCACAGTCGATTAGAGAGTTAAAGATGCACTTCCATACCAGTTGCATAACTTTAATCCGAACGCATTTCGAATGAAATTCAAAAAAGAATAGAAAATAACTATAGTCAATCAGTACATTGACCGTTTGGCTCAAACCCCGTCTCGGTATTGACCCTCTCAGGCACATGAGTTAGGTCCATCGATGACTTACACATTCATTCTCAGTGTCCGATACGTTATCTCTACGATTTATCCTGTAGCTCAGTTAAAAGAACACAAGTGAAGACACTGTATATCATGTGACAAACAATGCGAGATTTAGCCAAATTCAGCACAAATTTTTATCGCAGTCAATCTCTTTGTCTCAGTATCTTGAATATTTCAAGATTATCCAAAACAGGATGCATCACTTCATTGCTAAATAAAGCAATAATTATATCTGATATCAGCACCTTTTCGACTGTATCTGGTCCTGTAAAAATAAAGTAAACTTTATGAACGATTCTCCAGGATTGAAAGTAGTTAAAGTATACAATAAACTTTATATCGTAGAGTACGTATGTCATGGTCTATGAGTCTGCATCGATAATGTGTCTGTCATAATCGAAGTAAGAAGAATGATAAAAGATTCACTCTATAGTTGATCACTCGTTTAAGTTCGTATTGTTTATAAAGAATTGTCCATATATATTTTTTGATCAAGGCAAAGATCTTTTCACTTTTTCGATTGATGTTATTCAAGGATAAAAATGATACCAACCTTGATTATTTTTTGTTTGAATCTGCCAATAAAAAATTTCGTCTTTGTTAACGTACAATTAAAATACAAGTAAAAATGTTTCTTTTCTACTGATGAGGAATTGTATGTAAATCATGGATGAATCAAATGTGATCGTGTGACGTCTAGAGTCAATAAAATATAAAAGTAATACATTGCATTCTTTCGTTTGTCAACTTTTACCTGTGCAATTTCTATTCAAATCAGTGAATAGCGTATAACAACGCCGTTTTTCTTTTCTTTCGTATTACACCTGGCAATACTTTTTTTTCTTCTGTCCATAAACAAAATTTTTTGAGTGTAGAAATCACATCGATATTATCAAATCTATCTTATTATTTACCATTATTCTCAAGAGATGTAACGGTAACTATGATTTCTTTTCAACTACACTGAATAAAGAAATGAACAAAATTTTACTTATAGAAATGCAGCATATAGTCAGATAAGTGGCGTGTGTCTTAACAATCTCTTAATAGGACAAGCCAAACTTCAATTGTATGATCAAAAAATGTTCTAGCATCAGGCAGATATTTCCCTTCCTAATTCGTTACGTTGAAAAATAAAATGAGTATCAGAATTTAAAGAAAGTTTTAAAAAAATCTTGGAAGCTACGAAGACATGTATAAATCCATGGGATGGATGCTAAACAAAAGTTCTTAGACTCTTCATGCCCTAAACACATGTCACTAAATCGTCTTGTATCTTTTCATCAGAGATTCTAACATGAAAAATGTCTCTGAATGACATTGTATCACATTTTAATTAATCAGTGTCTCACATTATCCGTCACAATATGACATATGTTCAATAACTAGAATCCTAGACTGTGTCCTGTTAAATTACAAGAAAGATTCTTGATATTAAATGATTCATAATTCACTTATATGCTGGAGATATCCATTGTGGCAATAAAAACCTGCTAGCGCAATCTTTATGACATCAAAATAGGAAAGACGATTGAGCTGCGCAGATTGTCAGCGAGGAAATTCACAAATATATACAAGGTGACCCATAAATAATAGTGCGACGGTTGCGGGTGTGTGTATATGAGTTTGGGTAGCCATGGGGTTTGGGTAGCCATGGTGTATGGGTGCGGGTGTGGCTGTAGGTAGGAGCAGGGTTCCCGATTGTTTTGGGGAGTGGGGGGGGGGGGACTAAAAATTTGGCAGGAAGCATCTGTGGTTTAATTTTAATCCAACAAATGTAGGAGCTTTCTGCTGAACTGAACTTTAAAATTTTTGCAGAAAGTCTGGAATTTTGGGGCGGAGAGGGGAAAGCCCCTTCCTTTCCCTCCCTAATCGGGAATCCTGGGTAGAAGTATGGTTGTAGATGTGGGTATATGCCATTCACCCACTACCATACCCACAGTCGCCTTTTCTTTCAATAAATGTTGATCGATGAATGATTATGCATTCAAATACTTCAGAATAGAATGCTTATAAATACTTCTCAGATTGACACTTGAATTAGTTCATCATTAAACCTATAAATACCCTGAGCTCAAACATGAATCCTATTGTTAAATATGCAATTCGTGTTCTTTGTAAATATGAAATTTTTCATTATTTCATAGTCCATGATTGTAAATTCATCAGGATTTAACTTGCATAGAAAACATTTTTATCGTCTTTTTTCATAGACAGAAAGATACCATTCTTATCATTCTTCTATTATTTATCGAAGTACGTTGTCAGAAAAGAAGTCCTAAAGACAAGTTTTTTTTTCTAACATAAGAATATTAAAATCTTTTTGTTGTATAATAATAAACCAACACAATTCAGTTATAGTTTTAAAAATATCAGGTAATAAGATTTCAGCCTTAAAAATAATGGCCGTCGGTCGTCCATTCAAAGTTGACATGTTGTATAATTATAAAACCGATAGACTTTGTTAACTATCATCATCTAGTAGTTTTGAAATTCATATAATTAATATCTTTACAGAGAGAAAAATTTTTTTGGAAATAGATAATAATCTTAAACTCAGTGTTTTCGCTGGTCTTGTGGACTTATCTAGTTTCTAGTAAACTAATCGATTATCGTCAAAGCATCAAACAGAATGAACAGTTCATATTGCAATATTCGATAACAACACATTTTCATCAATTGGCAAACCATCGTTTCACCAAAGGCGATATAAAGCATCAAGACCTATTTGATCAACAAGTTGCAATACATGTTGTTACTGATTTTGTTTAAGGTGTTGAAATCTTTCTTGTATTTAATCGCAAATTATCGGATAATGAAAGTCATACAGAACTTCATAATTCTGTTAGGGAACTTTTGAAAAAAACTAAAGCACTTCAAATCTCTGGTATCGATCAATTAGATCTGACCAATAAGGAGAAACAACTGGCTGAAACATTAACATGTCAATATTATAATGATATTCAACTTGAATCTAATCCAATCTCATTTAATGAAGCAATCAAATTACTCAAGCAACTACCGAACCTTCTTGAAAAAAACAATGAATATACCAAACCAAAACAAGTATTGATATATCCGCTGTATTTATTAGATGATTTTGTTGCAGCAAAGAAAACATTTCATCAAATTTATAATCATATTTTTAGTAAATCTGTAGAACTTATCAATAGTCTACATGAATTAATAATTACTTTAAATGATATAAAAAGAATTTATCATCTCTGAAGATATTCTATGGAATTGAACAACAATTGTTAACATTTTGTACTCGAATGTCTGAACTGAAATTGATATACGAAGAAAAAAGATGGAATTATTACCCAAAATTCGTGGCACGTCTCTGGAAGAGAGAACACTAACTGATCTATTGGAAAAGTTTGATGTTTCTTTATGTATCAAACAAAAATTAAAGAACTGGATTCTATTCAAAACTGAAGAAAAAAATATATTTACGACATTTATTAATGATTTGAGAAAACAAGATAATATTCATTTGTTAACACATCTTCATTTACTGCAGTTCAAAAGAATTTTAATCATGAATTTATCCTTCGCTTGATTAGCCATGTTGCAGAAGAAAATGATTCATTTTTAAACGAACTATTTCAATATCTTAATGATAACACCAAACGACAAGTTGATAAGAATATAAAGATCGATTGTTAGTTTAATCACAATAATCTTGCATCAACTCAGAAACAAATTACACTATTTATTAAATTTGCTAAAGGTAATA